AGCAGCTCTACCAATTGTGCCACCATGCTGCCCTTGCTCAATAATCGAGGTATAAAATCCAACAATGTTCAGTCAGGTCATCTGGACGGTTTCTTTTTTTATGCTGAGATGTTTTGTTTGCCAAAAAAAAGAAACCGTCCAGATGACCTCACTGAACATTGTTGGATTGTATACCTCGATTACTGAGCATGAGCTTTGGTGTTTAGAATCACTTTGGCATGACTGAGTAGCTGACAGGGGAGAGGGTGGGCCCCAGAGGGCAGTTTAGCACTAGCAAACTGTTTTTTTATCCCCACTTCGGAACATGCTGTTTCTGGGAATCAGTTTTGTTTGGTGGCTCCTCATATCGAAGAAGTCCTTTGGATGAAGGACTAAATGTCTCAGCAAAAAAGAAACCATCCAGATGACCCGACTGAACATTGTTGAATCTTGAATTAATTTCACTTTTAAAATCAATCAGTTGTAGATGTAAATGAAGTGATTACTATCTGACAGTTTCAATCAAATCTGTGCTGTGGTTCACAAGGTACTTTGATATCTGTGTAGGAGAACACCTCATCTCAGAAAACAGTTCAGCTCAGCTTAAACAGAAAAAATAGTTCACCTCATCTCAAAACAAACATCATTCATGTGTCTTGTGTTTTAAACTGTTAAAATAAGATGCATTTATTCCCTTGGGAACAAAGACTTTATTTTACAGGGGTTCAAGTCAGCTTTGTCAAAGTGTTAACCACTTTGAATATGAACTCATTTCCCACGAAACGGACGGATCGTCTGAATGAGAGCTGTGGTTCATTTTGACCTCGAGGTGGGACACCTGCCGAGGAGTTTACTCCCAGGATTTTGCCATGGAGATAACAGTTTTAAAAGAATCCTTTGTTTTAAAAATGACGTTCTCTTTCAGGAGATGAACCTTTTTGATGAACATTGTATGTTATTTCCACAGCTTCAGAACTGAATGTTGGTTATTGAAATGTCTGTTTAAAGTAACCTCTCTTTAAGATAATCATGTTTATTTTTCTCCTCTTAAAAGAAGTGTGACTTTTTTAAAGGCAGATAGAGAAAATGGACTGTTATTTTATATAAAATATCATGACAGAGTTAAGGAACCATCCCACTTCCGGGTGGGGGGAGGTCCTAAGTCAATCTGTAACCCACAGACAGACACTTCACTTTTATTTTTTTAGACTTCTACACCACTTTTTCATTACACTTCACCTGCTCTTTCTACATCAACGAACTGTGAGCAAAACTTCAGAGAAGAATCTCCCTCCCAGAGAGATGTCCTGGGAAGAAAGAGGACAACCAGCAGAACCTGGCATTAAACCGAGACCCGAACCAGAACCTCACGCCGCAGAGTGGTAAATCCCAGCTGACTTCAAAGAGCCAGTGATCGGACCTTGGTCCCTCCAACGGATGACCGGTGACCTTTGAGGATAAATCTGCCTTTTAAGTCACCCATAGCATCTCAGGTAGAGCTGGCATCACTATAAGCAGTTGTGGACATTCTGACAGCTCG